GGGAAATATCAGAAGGCTACAGTCACACAGCCAACAGATTTGACCAGAAGGTCAAGGGAAGGAAAGTAGAATGGACAGTTGTAATAGAGGCTGTTAGGTGTCAACCTACTTTTCTTCCTAACTCGATCCTGCTCCGTGAAACTTAGATGAAACGGCTGGAATCATTTGGACAACAAAAAAGAGGATCACAGCCTACAATGGTACAGCACAGAAGTAGAAGGGACCAGGGTCCTGGAGGGACACAGAGTCACCATAACCGTCCTAGACTTCCCACCTCTAGATCATTTACATGAGAGGGCAATACACATCTATCTTGTTTAAGCCACAATTATTTGTGTTTCTCTTGTGTTTATCTTGTGTGAGCACAACCTAACCTCAAAGTATACAATAATCAAAGAATTTCTAGGCCGAAAAGACTCAGACTTACTTACGTCTCCAGCAGTCTTGCCAATATATCAAATAGACTGGCACTCTCCAAAAACTTTTTTGGACGAGGTTACTTGGATGAGCAATAAACCATGAAAGGAAGTCCTCATTTGCAGACATGCCATCCCAGCCCTACTCATGACAGTTTGCTCATTTATAATAGTTAGGCAATAGCATAAGGTATTGATGTGTAAAATAGTATTGGAAATGCTACAACAGAAGGAAATGAAATATGTTGCAATATGTGTTTTTAAGAAATAGAAACAGGAAGTAATTTTTCATCCCCTCACATGAGACCTAGCATTCCCTCTACAAAGCTGTCTACATTAATAAAAGCTCCACGATAATCAACGGCATCAAGGCACTCCCTTTTTAACTCTTCTCATCCTCTTTTCTCTGGAAACTGTCCTCAAGGGTAAAGACAGGAACTGAGTGTCTAGGCCAGGGCTGTACCATACGGCCCTGCCCTTCTGGCCAAAATCCCAATTCTTTCTCTCAAAGATCTACAACTCTGAGCTTAAAAAGAGGGACAAAAACCTTATTAACTGAAAAATTCAGAAATATCTGAACTCTTGCTACTAAAGCCCTTTTCCATTTTCAAAAGCTGAAGTGTTCAACTTCTAGGATTCCCAGAGATACATTAATATCTTTCAAATGTATTTTCTTTTTCTTAAATAAGCCAAAGTAGGTTTCTTTTACTTGCAAGCAAAGAAATAATTTGATAGTTTCACTAACACAATGTTAAAACGAAGCTAATTTATTAACATAAGTTGGTTGGGACTTCATCACTTGAATTTCTCTTGGACTAGTCCAAGCGCTTTTAAGTCTGATTACAACACAATTCTGAGCATTTCAAAAGGTCACGACTCGGGGTTACACAATGTTGTATGATCCCACCAGCACCGATTTTTTTTTTTTTTTTTTGTAATTAAGTACTTAAAACTTTCTGATGACAGCACTTGGACCTAGATGTGACCTTAAGAGATTCAATCAGTTCAACCACTAGTTTCATCATCTCTTGTTCCTCTTCCCTTCAGACTAAAGAGCTTGCTCAGTACTTGACAACCCTTTGCACACCTTTCTTTAACATGAGCTCTTCCATCTTTCGGAGAGCTCTTTGTCGGTCATATCTAGCAAATGAGCATACAGTACACCCAGTTAAATGTGAACTTGACACAAAGGACTTTTTTGGCCTAATTATGTCTCAAATATTGCATGATGACTAAAAAACTATTTGTTGTTTATCTGGAATAAACAAACAACAAATAAATGTAAGCCTACTGTACTTTATCTGACAACTCCAGTTCTGTGGAGCGGAAAGAGTCGCCCCATAAAATCTACAGACTACCCATTCCCTTCACACCACAAAAACAGTGAATTAGGAACAAAAGTTTAAGTGAGCGACACAATGACACAGACTATTGGAGCTGAAGGGGGCCCTGGAGGTAGCTAGCCCCATGTCCTCACCTTAAAGATTAGGGGAAGATGGTCCAATGTAGTTGAGTGACCAAATGGGTTAGAGCAGGACTCCAAATTACAAATAACTACAAAGATTCTTGATTTTCGTTAGTTTTAAAAATTATTTCTAAAAACCCAAAAGAGAAAAGAAGTCAATTTTACGGCTCCAAACAATATTCACATATCTGTCACCTCAATGGTCATTTCACATTAGTAAATATGAAGTCACAAAACAAAACAACAAAATATACGCAGTTAAGAAATCGCTCTTGTAAGTGGGGTAATTTAATGAAATTATGTACGTAAAACGTAAGACACCTAGTACAAGCTGTGGCCCATAACAAGACATCTAAATGTAGTTCCCTTCTCCTCCCTGCCTATTTACTCAGTAATACTAAAGTATCACAATAGCTTCCTATCTTTTGTCTCCAAACTCTATACATCATCTTCAACTTCAGATCAGCACTGCATTCCTAATACATCTCCCTCAAAAGCATTCCAATTAATAAACAATGCAAGATGTTCTATCTCTTTAGATATCAAATTGCCAATAAAAACATTCCTAAGTCAAATCACCAAAAGTTCACCAAAAGAATTTTAGTGATTTCATTTAGAAAGCACTGTGTAATAAAGGCAGAGTATAGACTCAGGGTACACACTAGGTGTAAAGTATAAAGTATAAAGGAGGGAGGACATCGTTTCAAGCTGTACTTAGAAAACTGTGGAAGCGGCAACAGGAACTACAACTTCAAGGACAGACAGTATTCTGACTGGTGAAACAGGAAGTTAAAGAAAGTTTCAAGTGGAAGGAGCTTTCCAAACAGGGCATGAAGGCAGAGAAGCAAATGCTTTACAATCTAGCTCTACAATTTTGCAACTGTATTTTTCTTTCTATCGTGCCCCAACAGGGGCGCAGATGCTGATCAAGTGTCATTTCTGATAGACGGCGTGAGCCTCTTACCTCCACACTTGTGCTCGAGCTACGTCCTCCCCAACAACAGGGAGCGAATCTTGCTCCACTATGTCACCCGCACTGGTACAACACAGAGTAATAAATACTAGATTAACCAATATCCACCTTCCCTTTCCCCTCAGTTTCTTTTCCATTCTTTCATTCATTTCTTTCTCTCCTTCAGATCCTCCTAACTGACCAAACTAAAAACGTAATACTTTTATTCACTGATTAATATGTAAAGCGGATAAGCAGGATATTCTCTTCATAACAAAGCTTGCAACTTAAATCCTTGAAACCTCCCCCCTCTGCCCACCATGTGGCTTTCCCCTGACCTCTGCTTCCCACTCCATACTCCCTCCCTTTCCTCTTTGGATTTGAGATTCTGCATTCAAAAAGAATTCCTCTCCCACTTCAGATTTTTTTTTTAAATAAACAGTAACGACAGCCGGTTCACTCATTTGAAAATTTCCCTCACAAACAGAACAGATAAGGGCTTTGTGTTCTTGCTGGGCGGTGGAGAAGGAACAAGAGGAACAGAAGGGGAATTAGAAAAGTAACAGAACATAAACCCAGGTGTGTCCAGCCAATCTAGAGGAATAAGGGTCAGAAATACTCTAGCCTGCCACAAAAACAAATTTTCTTTTATCACTATATTTGCAAGAATAAGCCCTTAAAAACAGGACATGCACCCTTAAAGATTTTTCTTTTGGTAGCCAAAATTATAAATTATCCCTTAGATAAGTGAAGGTTACCTAATAATCAACTCTTTAAACAGTCACTCACAATGGAACAAATTATTAAATGGAAAAGACATGCACCAGAAATGATCTTGATCACTGCAGTCGTGAAGGCTTATACAGGTAACCCAATAAAATCAGAAAAAATAAATAAAAACTTAACACACTGTTACCTCGAAGTCTAGACTCACGGTTTCAAGCATAGTAAATACACCACTGAATACTACTTTATAAAAATACAATGAGTCAGGGGCGCCTGGGTGGCTGAGTCAGTTAAGTGCCCAACTTAGGCTCAGGTCATGATCTCACAGATCGTGAATTTGAGCCCTGTGTTGGGCTGTGCCAACAGCTGAGAGCCTAAACCCTGCTTTGGATTCTCCCTCTCTCTCTCTGCACCCCCACTCGCTCGCTCGGTCTCTCAAAAAATGAGTAAACAAACAAACAAAAAATACAGTGAGTCATTACACTGTAGAAATCACAAATACACTGAACGGATGAGTGGGGGTAGAGAGAGGTCTGTTAATGTTAAGCAAATAGGTACTTGTCCTCAAACTTCCAGTGCCAGCATCATCCCTGGACTGAAAAAGTGCTGTACTTCCAAAAGATTAGACAAAAGGAAAAGCTTTCTGCCCCGGACTAGAGAACAACTGGAAAACAAGCACTTATAATTACAAGACACTAATACCAAAGCGGATGTAAATAATCTTGCACATAGTGTTTCATGAAATATGATTACAAAAATATCTAAATTTAAATTATCGTATATAAAGGCACATATGCCCACTAAATTAATAAATAAAAACAGGCCTATTTCATCATTAATGGATGTGTACACACTCAAGGTGACCCAATAAGGTTTGGAAGTGATCTTCTCATTGGAAAAAAGACTGCCTTGGATTTGAAGTCACATTACATTTAAGCACACACAGTATTAGTTCAGAGTAAAAAAAAAAAAATCTTTGTCTTCTAGCATTTCCTGAGGGCACCGCTGAATTCTGAATTGTAGAACAGTCTGCCTCACTTGAAATGGCTCCATGTTGTTTTTGACTTGGTATTTCTTCTTTATCCCTAACAAGGAATCTTACTGGGGACTTATTATTTACCATGAACCACAATAGATCCTTTCATAAAGTACCTGCACAGACATTCACACATTCAACTATATCGTGGTTCACAAAAATCAAGTTCTGCTGGCAAAGGCCACGAAGTGAGAGTGGTGGACAGGATGGAAGAGAAAAAAGCAATCTGGTTTTTAAATGTAGGATGCAAAGTGGCAGACCTTATCTTCCTGTTCCACAGCAGGATAGTGTCAACTGATAAGAAAGGTAAATTAATCCTTAAGCAAGTGAGCATTAAAAACTTTAGGAAACAGAGCTCCCTACCCTAACTCTACACTCTTGTTTCTAAAACATGGAGCTACTTACCTCTGCCTCTGCTGTCAACCGTAGCTTCTTTGCCATCAACTGTTTTATGTCAATCCTACCTAAAGAAAGAAAAAAAGGTAACTTTTAAGTTGATGGATACAGCTAACCAGCACAATTTCTTTTCTTTTCTTTTTTTTAAAGTTTATTTATTCATTTTGGGGAGGGGAGGCAAGGAGAGGGAGAACCCCAAGCAGACTGCATACTGTCAGTGCAGAGCCCAACACAGGGCTCAAACTCTCGAACCATGAAATCATGACCTGGGCGAAAGTGAGACTCTTAACTGACTGAGCCTCCCAGGCGCCCCTAACCAGCACTATTTAAATCATGAAGTTGAAAATCAAGCAGAAGAGGATGACTATGTCAATTATGGTAAAACCACAAAACATGACAACTCTTAAAAAATGAAGCATGGGCACTATCAGCAGAAGGAAATTTATACATAATTTATACATAAGAAGACAGGTTCCTGAGTGGCTTAGTCAGTTGAGCATCCAACTCTTGATTTCAGCTCAGGTCATGATCCCACAGTCATGGGATCGAGCCCTGCATCAGGATCTGCGCTGACAGTGGAGCCTGTCTCCCTCTCCCTCTCTCTCTCTGGACCTGGGTGACTTAGTTAAGTGTCCGACTTCAGCTGAGGTCATGATCTTGCAGTTTGAGTTCTAGCCCCGCATCAGGCTGTGTGCTGACAGCTCAGAGCCTGGAGCCTGCTTCGGATTCTGTGTCTCCCTCTCTCTCTCTGCCCCTCCCCCACTCATGCTCTGTCTCTTTCTCTCTCTCTCTCTCTCTCTCTCTCTCAAAAATAAACATTAAGGGGTGCCTGGCTGGCTCAGTCAGTTAAGTGTCCGACTTCGACTCAGGTCACGATCTCGCGGTCCGTGAGTTCGAGCCCCGCGTCAGGCTCTGGGCTGATGGCTCAGAGCCTGGAGCCTGTTTCCGATTCTGTGTCTCCCTCTCTCTCTGCCCCTCCCCCATTCATGCTCTGTCTCTCTCTGTCTCAAAAATAA